TAAAATGTATTACTGGCACGGGGCTGGAGCACTTCTTTTAGGCACAAACAAAACTTTGTTTACATGAGACGCTGACAGGCACATGTCATTGACTTGAAAAAGGCACTAACTTCTATGGAAACATTTAATATTGTTAAATTGTAAGTCAACATGACACACTAAAGACATTGCTAAAATCTTTTTTTGAAATAGTTTTATGTGAAAGGCCAAGTTTTTAAGATTTGCACTTCATTGTGCTTTACTTAGATGATAAATATGACATTCATAGCAGTTTAGAGTGGTTTCTTAGGTTGAAATATTAGATTTCAAGTGGTATAAATTATTAAGTATTTTTTAGGGTTTTTGATGAAATCTACATTTTTACATATATTTTCTCAGTTAAAAAGCACTTTTAGACATCAGAAAATTTTATTTAATGCTTCAACAGGGTCTGTATATTGAAATTGAAGGTTATAATCAGATGTTTTATCCATATTTTGACTTGTGAAGGTATACAGGAAGAAATCAATTAAACATACACATTGTATTCAGAATTAATAAATATAGCGATAAAAGGGTCTTTGCCTTATAGTGCTGAAACAACTTTATTTTCTTTCAGAAATGAACAAAAATACACAGATTTATTCAGAAAGTCATACCGATGAAGATCACACAAGAATATTTGGAAAAATCAGAATTATGGATTTTAATATTGGTCAATTTCCCTAATGCGCCTCAAATTGAGGAACTCAAAAGTTGTGCGTAAACAAAAAATCTCTATGTAGTGATAATGGACATGTTTCTATTTTTAACAAATGACTGAGCCTAACCATTAGTGTTGATTTGGAAAGTAGAGGACCATAGAATAAATGTGTTAAAACTATGGAGTTATTAAATGTGTTTAAAGTATTAAATTTTCAAAGAACTTATTGTTTAAAAAAAGGGATTTTTTACCACGAGGAGCCGCATCACGAAAGAATTTTCGGGGTATGCTAATTTACGGAAAATGAATCCCCGAAAATTTAACTACATAATTATGTGAAAATGTCTCAGCTTCGAGACGAGCCATCATACATATCCAAGTTTACGATATGGACTGAGCTACAGAAGAAAACGTTACCAGTGACAGTTTTGACTTTTCAAATCTTTACACTACACTTCCACACAATATTATCAAACAAAAGTTTTCCTATTTAAATAAATGAATGCAAATATATTTGCTGCAACTCATTTAGAGCCTTCTTCACTAATGAGAAAGGTTAATATGCTAGATATACTTACTGGGGGTGTAATGATATGATTGAAGCTGTTAATTTTCTCATTGATAATATTGATATACGCTTCGGTAACAAAGTTTATCAACAGGTTGTAGGTATTCCTACGGGCACCAATTGTGCCCCTTTAAAAGCAGACTTGTTCTTGTACTGTTATGAATCACAGTTTATGACCAAACTCAGTAAAAACCCGTCAAAATTGCATTTAATTGAATAATTTAACAACCATTACCGTTATCTTGATGATAATATGTCGTTAAATAATCAAGAATTTTCTAAATATACTGCCGAAATTTACCAAAAGGAACTTACTTTAAATAAATCAAATATAAACGGAAATAACTGTCCTTTCCTAGATTTAGATACTTCAGTTTAACACGGGAAACTCTACACTTAAATTTACGACAAAAGGGACGATTTTTCGTTCCCTATTGTTATTTTCCTTTTTTTGACGGTGATGTTATTTTGGCACCATCTTACGGTGTTTATATATCACAACTTGTTCGCTATGCCCGTTGGTTTTGAAGTTTGATTGAACCTGTAGAAAACTTATTTCAAAAGGGATAGCACAACCTAATTTTTAAGGAGAAGTTGTTTACAGATCCCTGAAATTTAGAAACGATCCAGGTAAAGTTATCTATCCTTTAAATAAACTTTTTTTTAAATGTTTACCATTTCAACACTGTAATTAGATCTTTGAATATTGTTTTTATTGATATTAATATTGATTTTATTATCAGTAAATTAAAATCAAACTAAAAAATATTTTTATATACATATGCACATTCATGGCTCTACAATCTGTCGATCCTTGTATTTTGGCATTGCACAAGGCCATGTTTTCCTCTGACTGTTAATGACGTCTTTACACTTAATCCATTGGATGTTGGATGTGTACTGATTGATATTTTAGTCTTAAATGCATGATTTTTTTTTATTTGTTATTGGCTTTGAGCTAGCTGTTAGTAACTGCGAGTATTCTTAGATCTGTACTTAGTGTGTTTTTGTTGTGGGGATGTATAAATACCCTGCCACGTCCGCTCTGTATTTTTGTTAGATGTATTTCTATTTGTATTCATCTGATGAGTTATGCCTTTTTTGCTGATTTTTATAGTTTGTTCTTATGTTGTACTGTTACACGACTGTCCAAGGTTAGGGGGAGGGTTGGTGCCTTCATACTAGTTTATTATGTATGTGCCTGTCTCAAGTCAGCGGTTATAGTTTGTTGCTGTGTAACATATTAGTTTTCGTTCATTATTTTGTACATAAATTAGGCCTTTAGTTTTGTCGTTTGAATTGTTTTACATCTGTCATTTCGGGGCCTTTTATAGATGACTTTGCGGTATGGGGTTTGCTCATTGTCGAAGACCGTAAGGTGACCTATAGTTGTTAATTTCTGTGTCATTTGGTCTCTTGTGGAAAGATGTCTCATTGGCAATCATACCACATCTTCTTTTTTTTTGTATTTATATGTGTAACAGTAAGATAACATTATTTATCTGAACATTCGAATAGTATTTCACACTTCAAAATAATTCACTCCCTTATTATAGTCAGCTTTATTACAAAACAAAAATATGATAAGTTCTTTAATTATAGTGAGAGAACTAGCTAAAAACATGCTAACATATCAGAACGATTAATTGACAACACTTAGTATAAGCCGTTATGTAGGTTTTTTGAATGTTCAAAAGAAATCTTACGATGAGCTATGGTAATGATATGATTTATCTCATTTTCACCTTATTTGAGGTGTAATTAATTCTAAAAAAATATCATTACTTCTGTAAAATAACAGAAACATGTTTAACTATTTAAAAAAAAGGTTATTCATAAAACTGTTGTGTAAAAATCCTTTTCAGGAAAACTAGACATATTGTGGTGTATTTCTTGGTATTTTTTTTATCAATTTATTATCTGTTGTCTCTTTTTTTCAGAGAAGCATCCGACCAAGAATGCATAAGACTTGTAGTTGTAAATGGTGAGAAAACATTTATTATATATATTGTAAAACAGATGGTTCTAAATGAAATGCAGTTGAGGCAGTGAGCATTGTTGTCGTTCCACAGCATAGGCTTAAATCGTATTAAAACTTGTATATGTCTCTGTTTTCCACAATTAAATTCTTCCTCGCCCTGCTATTCCAAATTTAAAGTATCTCTACTCTAAATTCAATAGGCTATAAACAAGACAAACACAGAAATAGGATTAGTTGCTCGCAGTAACATATTATTTTCTCTTGCGATACAATATTTTATTTTATTTAATTGCACAGATTTCTTCAAACAACATATAAATACATGTAATAATAAAATTGAGAATGAAAATGGGGAATGTGTCAAAGAGACAACAACCCGACCAAAGAGCAGAAAACAGCCGAAAGCCACCAATGGGTCTTTAACACAGCGAGAAAATCCCGCACCCGGAGGCGGTCTTCAGCTGGCCCATAAACAAAAATATGATAAACATAGCAGCAACTGTATATATACTAATGTGACTAACTTCGATTCGACGTTACTGCGAGCACCTTCGATACTAATACATTTAAATGCAAAACTTTATATAGTACCATAAAACCCCATCCGTAGGAACCGCAAAATTGTTCTCGTGCCATATGAACCTAACATCAAACTTCATAAATAATAAATACTGTTGCAGAACTAGTATCAGAACTAGTTATACTAGTTCCAATCTATACATAAGTACTACAAATAGCAAACGAGAAAAACCCAATTTCAAACAAAATGAAATATATTTAGACCTGTATTCTCTTATCCACTACAATGCGATATTCATAGGTTTTAGTTTATGTTAAACATTGAACGGATTGCCACATACATATTTATGTTGAAATAAATAATAGAAAACATTTTATATTTACATTTAAGCGTTTGTCCTTTATGTGACATACAAAATCAAAACCGTTCTTTACTCAACCATATTGTTCAATGTTAATATCTTTTCAAATATTTTAAATTAAGGCACGTTTTACTTCATTGGAACCATAAATGCCCTGAAATGTGCATGTCTCACGTTTTGATTCCCCAATTCCAAACAATATCTTCTCTATGCTGGTTTATTAAATTATCGATGTGACATCACAGTGTGTAAAATATATTATATAATTTCAATGACGAATTCGTTTACAAAATTTTCCCTGACTGCTTGTGTTGCGCTGTTAAAAGTCGGTAACAGATCATGTCAGTGCCGTAGCAATGGCTTATTAGCTGATGATACCCTCGGTCACTAGTTACGTTATAACATAGCGCTTGAAAATGAGAATGACACTTATAAGTTTGGTGCGTTCGAAGTGCTTTCCTGGATTTTTCTTCAACAGGAACACTGTATATACTGTTATGATTTTGTAATTAAAAAAAAAAAAACATCTTACAAGGCCACCCAAAACAAATTAGACCAAGATAGATTAAACATGATAATTACATTATCATAACAATACAAATATAGTTCTGTCTGTTGGGTAATGTGTTTCTTTTAAATGGGTTATATTGGACAATGATTCATGCTAATGTTGTCTCTAGTGACGAAACATAATCAAGATAACAAAATCTCACCCGTAGCCAAGTACAAAGTATGAAAAAATCAAATATGCTTAAATTCAGTAAATTAATTATAATGAAAATTAAAGAACTGAATGCAAAATGCTCCTTTACTGTTTCAATGAATTTTCTTTAAATGAAACATATGGACTCAATTCAGTGTTTTGTAATTTTATGTAATTCACTTCAGACATCGGAATATGCACATCCAACCCATGTAAAAATAGAGCTACTTGTAATGACCAAGACAACAGATACAGCTGTACATGTGCTTCTGGTTTCACGGGCACAAACTGCGAGACAGGTAACATATTGACGAAACATTTCCAAAGTTTTACGTTAAAGTGTACTTGTCATGTTTCAGAAGTGAATCTTGCGCTGTCTTTCCGAATTCACATTAGAACGAAATCGAAAACTTGTAACTAATAATGTAATTAAAAGATTTGTTACTTATTTTGAACTTCTGAATATAACTTTCAAGAAACATCATGGTTATATATGACATCAAGAAAAATATATCTTGTCGAGAAAAATTGTAATCTGCGTTTATATCGTGATATGCTCATGCACAATCACAATTGCATTTAATACTTTATGTATATGTGTATTATCTTTTAACCATAACTTTAACATTTGCTTACAGATATTGACGAATGCTCATCTAACCCATGTGAGAATGGAGCTATGTGTAATGACCACGTCAAAGGATATAACTGTATATGTACTGCTGGGTTCACTGACACACACTGCGATACTGGTAAAAAAATGACAATCCTTTGCAAAAAGAGAATAACAAAAATACCGAACTCCGAGGAAAATTCAAAACGGAAAGTCCCTAATCAAATGGCAAAATCAAAAGCTCAAACACATCAAACGAATACATAACAACTATCATATTCCTGACTTGGTATAGGCATTTTCTGATGTAGAAAATGGTGGATTAAACCTGGTTTTATAGCTAGCTAAACCTCTCACTTATATGACAGTCGCATAAAATTTCATTACATGACAACAATGTGTGAACAAAACAAACAGACATAATAGGTAAAAAAGTCAAAAATATTTGACAGTTGTCAACATTGTGTTATAATCTTAATCACTATAAAAAACAAATATGTCAACAAAGAAAAACCAAAAGACATATAGACAAAGCACATAAGCAAAAATAAATGACAAGAATACAAAAATTTACGAAAGCAATATATGTTTATGTGGCTATATTTGACCTTACGTTAAGAGTTGTGTTTAAAGTTCAAAGTTTTTCAGTACAATATAATGCTGAAGGTAGAAACATTGTTCCTATGAAATATGTACTTGTCTTGATTCCAAAAGTGAATTTCCCGTGTTCCTTACCGAATGTACATAAACACTACGCGTCAAGGATAAGTTATACGTTTTCAAAAACTAATACTTGTCATTTATAATGTGAAATAATTCTATTTTTTTTAACTTGAGAGTATAACTCTTTAGAAAAAAAAACAGCTCTATATTTGAGGACAAGTTTGTTGAACAAGTTGAGAAATATTGTAAGGCAAGTGATGATATCGTTAGAATACAACAAGTGATGTCAAGTTACCAAAAATTCATTTTTTTACAGATATTGACGAATGCTCATCTAACCCATGTCAGAATGGAGCTACTTGTAATGACCAAGTCAACGGATATAACTGTATATGTGCTGATGGATTCACCGACACACACTGTCAGACAGGTAAACAAATTGATCAATCATTTTCAATCCATTATGGCTGAGTGGTTTTATTTGACCTTATTTTGAGAGTTGTGTTCTCGGTTCGAAGTCGGTTGGTTTCATACAAAATTATTCTGAATGGAAACAAGTACATAAAATCAAAAATCGACTTGTCAAGTTTCAAAAGTGAATATTGTGCTTGACTTTCCGAATGCAAATATGAACGACACATTAAGAAAGTGTTATTAAAACGAAAAAGGGAACTACTTTATTTTGAATTTGTAAGTATAACTATAGAGAAAAATCCTGATTTTATATTTCGTCAAGAATCTATCTCTAGTGTATAGAATTGTGAGGCGTGTTCATATCGTAAGAATACAAATATGATTAACATATGTAATTAAAGTTAATACTTTATCTGCATGTGTTGAAATCAAGTAACCGCAAATTTCATATTTGCTTACAGATATTGACGAATGCTCATCTAAGCCATGTCAGAAAGGAGGGACTTGTAATGACCAAGTCAACGGATATAACTGTATATGTACTGCAGGATTCACTGACACACACTGCGAGACAGGTAAACAAATTGATCAATCATTTGCAATCCATTATGGTTAAGTGGTTTTATTTTACCTTATTTTGACAAAAGTGAAAATTGTGCTTGATTTTCCAAATGCATATAGGAACGACACATTTAGTCAAAACTTAGTGTACATGTGTTATAAAGCAATCAAAAATTCAATATTTCATTTACAGATATTGACGAATGTACATCTGACCCGTGTGAGAATGGTGCTACGTGTAATGATAAGGTCAATGGATATACATGTACATGTGCTGCTGGGTTTACTGACACACACTGCAAGACAGGTAAACAAATTGATCCAATATTTGCAATTCATTATGTTTAGATGGTTATTTTTTTTACTTTACTTTAAGATTTTTGTTTCATGTACGAATTAGTTCAGTGCAATACAGTTCTAAAAGGGGAAAAGTTGTGAATATGAAAAATGTTCTTGACATGATTCAAAAAATTAATTGTGTTCCTGCCTTTCCGATTGTCTATTATACCTACTCATAAATGATCAGTTTGATGTTATTAGAATCAGGGTTATAAATGACAAGTATATTCAACTAGTCGAGAAATTTTGTTATGCCTGTTAGATATCAATAAAATACAAAATGTGATAGGCGCAAACTAGAAATTTGACCTCTGAGTTTATGTCACAAGTAACCCAGAAATCAGTATTTTATTTACAGATATTGACGAATGCTCATCTAACCCATGTGAGAATGAAGCGACTTGTAATGACAAAGTCAACGGATATAAATGTACTTGTGCTGCTGGATTCACTGACACACACTGCGAGACAGGTAAACAAATTGATCAAACATTTGCAATTCGTTATGGTTAAGTGCCTATATTTGACCTTACTGAGAGTAGTGTTTGAGGTACTACCTTTGTCAGTGCAATATAATTCTAAACGGGAAAAAAGTTGTTGATATTAAAGATGTAGTTGTCATGGTTCAACAGTGGATAGTGCGTGTCCCCTTAAAATGTTCATCAGGACGTTATATTAAAGGATAAGTTATGGGTTATGAAAAAAGAACAGTTAATTATGGAAATGAAAAAAATTTAAATTATTTAAAACAAATGAGTGTAACTATATTTATTGAGAAAAATCAAGGTTATATTTGTGAAGTATATATATAGTCGGGAAAAATTATGAGGCAAGTGTAAATATCATTAGATAATAAGTGATAGACGCATAAACATATGTAATTGAAATAAATACTGTTTGTACATGTATTATACTGACGGACTTTACAAACGTAACACACATTTTGGGTGATTTTTTTTAACCAAATCATGATTGATCCTCATATAAATACTATTCATGTTTACCATACTTCTAGAAGAAAAAGGAAAACTAAATACCTGACTTACCTGAGGAAATTGAACATACTGGAATTTTGAAGTCGCACGAATTTCTTAAAGCGTTATTTGAAACCCATAAATGATTCTTTGAAATTTTTTTGTTCATGAAACAATTCTTTCAATCAATAACCAAACTTCAATCAGTAAAAGAATGTTGTATCTCCATATTGCCGAGACAGAGCAATGACAATCGGAATCAGACCATAATCATATTGCAGGCAGGAATGCGTGAATGTGCTGTTACTATTAAATTTCACGTCAGAAACTCCTCTTATTGTCGTTACAAAAACGGTACAGGAAGATGGGATTTGTTGATGACCACCCATGACCAGATAGATAGGTTTTGACAACGCCACGTCAATAAAATTTGATTACGCAACGTAATTTGCGAGACATGTTTTCGGCCGCAACGTCAACTGTTAATCAAACCGCATAATGCCAAAACACACTGTAATGTGTTGGACAGAGGTCAAATCAGAACGTACAAACCAACATTCCAATCAGAACTGGTTGACTTTTCTGTCATTTAGGCGTTTGTTACAGGAAGTCATTGTCGTCAACGGTAACACATCCATCGATATGGTAAAAACTAGGGTTTCAGTCACACCACATGATTTGAACAATAAACATAAGGTAATAAATTCAACTTTCGAACTGCAAACGTTTTTGGACAATGAAGTAATGAATGAAATGAATGGTTACAGTTATATTTTACAAGTATTGCATACTTGAAAATGAGCATTAAAAAGAATGATCTAGCTTTGCGTTTTTAAAGTCCATCAATTTATGATTATTTTTAACAGATATTGACGAATGCGCATCTAACCCATGTGAGAATGGGGCGATTTGTAATGACCAAGTCAACGGATATAACTGTACATGTGCTGATGGATTCACTGACACACACTGCAGGACAGGTAAAAGATAAAAAAAAACCATTTGCAATCCAACATTTCAAAGATCCTATATTTGACAATAGTACGATGTCCAGTACATCATTATTGTAAAGTTACAACTTGTTTATATCAAATATGTACTTGTCGATTTTGCGCTTTCACTTGAGAATATTCCAAAGAATATCGATGTTACATAAAGGATAAGTTATGCGTTATCAAAGCAGATACTTGTCATTGTTAATTCAATTGAAAGTATTCTAATTTTTTTTGATCTTTGATTATTGAAAAAAATCAAGATCATATTTGACGTTCAGTATATATTTGACTAGCAGGTCGAACAACGGATGTTCGTAAACACTGCTGACTGCCATGGCGATTGCCAAATAAACGGATCACCAGATGTAACGAAATGGATCTTAATTGTTAATTTAATACCAAACAGAAAACAATAAACTTGCGGAAAGGTGGTATATCGCAAACATGAGGTGCACACATTGGTACATTATATCCGGATTTCGACAATTAATGTCTCTTCAGTGATGTTAGGAATCGAAACGGTATTTGGAATGCCATATAATTTAACTCAATTTAAAATAGACTCTTGAATTTTGAAGAGTCGAAATAGGATAAACGGATTAATTATATCAACCCGAAGGCAAATATAATACAAGCCCAAACGAAAAAATATGAACAAGTCTAAATTGAAAACAACGTTCAAACTTATGATTGCGTTGGATAAAAACCGCAATTTTTATACGTGTGCATGCAAAACAAATTTCTTGGTAGAGGGGTCTAAATACAGCACAAACAACATTTTCCAAAAGACCAAAAAAAGAGAAAAAGGATATTTTAACAAAACGCATTTGACTAGCAGGTCGAACAACGGATGTTCTTAAACACTGCTGACTGCCATGGCGATTGCCAAATAAACGGATCACCAGATGTAACAAAATGGATCTTTGTTATTAATTTAATACCAAACAGAATATATATATGTTTACGCCTTAAAAAGTCTATAAAACAACACCAATATGAAAAAAGGAAACAGTAAATACAATAGTAATAAATATTTCGGATAACCGATGTCTTTCATCAGTATGATAACGATGATGTTAAATGAATCATATCAATCAATTCTGATTTGATCTAAACAATCTTTAATTTAAATACTTACTTTGTGTTCATGTATTATAATATTTACTACAGATATAGACGAATGCGCATCTAACCCGTGTGCGAATGGAGCTACTTGTAATGATCAAGTCAACGGATTTAACTGTTCATGTGCTGCTGGATTCTCTGACACACACTGCGAGACAGGTAATTAAAAACAAAATGACGAAACATTTGCAATTTATTTTGTTTAAGAGGCCTTATTTGATTTTAATATGAGAAAGGTATTTCAGGTACAAAATTCTACCGTAAAACATCAATATGAATGCAAAAAGAAAAAATGTTCAACTAAAAAGTGTGTTTTTTTCATTATATAATTTTTTTCTTTTTATGTCGTCATATTAGCAGAGAACAAAAGTTCGAAAGCATCATTTACACTGAGACCCCTCCCCCCAAATAGAAAAAAAGCAAAATCAGACATTATCAAAAAAGTCCAAGTAATGACAAAAAAATTAAGGAAAAACGGGATTCTGCTGGTCTCACATAATGTATTCATTAACATAAGTCGAATCTTGTGAAATAAAAATGAAAATGTAATTTATTTTTACTGAAGTTTAATATATACTAAATACAGACATAGATGACTGTACCAACAATCCATGCCAGTACGGAATATGTCATGATCGAGTTAATGATTTTCACTGCGATTGTGTAATCTTCCGCAAAGGCAAGATATGCAACAAACGTGAGTACACTAAATAAATAGAAGCAATATAAGGTTGACAACCACTTAGTTAATAAGTGACTTCAGGCTACATGGATTTTTTACTGTTCGGATTACGCACCCGGTCTCGCTCATTTTAGAGTTCATGCAATCATGTGTTGGTTAGATTGATTTGACTTCTTAATCAATGAGTGAGATTTGAACATTGGTATGCTGTTGTCTTAATTTGCAACACCGGTGATCCAGAGTGTATGGTTATTTTCAAAACTAACATTTTGATTGCACGTTCGAGGTTATCCACTAAAAAACTACCTAACAGTTCCTAAAAATTTCAAACATGGCCATTATGTGTAAGAATATATAGGAATTCGGTTAGTAAGAAGCTAATGAGCGACGTAAACACTTCAAACGATATACATATGTAGCATGGCCACATACAGTTTGCTTCCAAATCTCAAGCAGCTAAAATGAGTTCCTTTAAAAATTCGATATAAATGTCATGGAACAGAAACGTGGACATAGGTAAATTAGTATACTCACATCTTGCGCAGCTGTTGCATAATGACTTTGATTTATTTTTATTTAAATGAAAATACAGAGTATGCAAGTGAATAAAGAGAAGAAGGGGACATATCAATGAGACAACAACACAACACCAATCAATCAATTAAAGGCATAAAAAGCGGCACTCATGGGTCAATATATTAGTAAACATCGAGAATTTTTAGATATCACATTAAGTATGCTATACGTGTAAAATATTTCTGTATTTTGTTTTTAAAAAGTTTGAATTGCCTGTAACAATAGAATGTAAAGAATTACTTATTCAAGACAGTCGCAATGATGAAATAATCCTTCATTTAAGGTATACAATAAATCTATTTGTAGTTACAGCATGGGCCGTAGCTTTTATAGTCTTAGCATCTATTGCAGCTCTTCTAACTTGTTGTTGTTTCAGGCGGAATATTGGAAAGTAAGTACTTTTCCATATAGAAAAAAAGTATTTACTTATTAAAAAACATTTCTGAAAATGAAAAAAATCTTGACCATTTGTTTTTATATTGTTATTTGAAAAATGTTTGTTTATATTTTTATTTTATCTATTCCTTTTGTCTTTTTTTTATATATGCATGCACTGTTTGATGAATATAAGATTGTCGATAGAAATGGAAAAAAAAATCTTGTTGTGCCTGATGTTGACGCAAATTATTTTTAAATTACTTGAAAACTGAAGAGTTTATTGCAATTAGGAGATTGTCAAAAGTTTTTGTCAAATATCTTTTTAAAGATATATATATGTTGTGTGTAATATACATTTCAATATATGCATATACAATAATAAACCTGTGTACACTTTTAAATACAATTGACTTACATTTCGCCTTTTTCAGATGTAAAAGGAATGATGAAAAGAAAAAAGTTAAACCACAGGAAATAGATGTTGAACCGAAACCAATGGAACTGCGATGGATATGATAGATGGTGATAAATAAACAAAATAGTTTTTGTTTGAATTGATTACAATTATTTTATTTTTTTTATTAATTAAAAGTCATTTTATTTCAATTCAATAATGCAACATATAAGACTTGGAATTAACAATAATGAATGGCATACGATAGTGATGCCTGTTCAATTTTCAAAGATTTCGTTTTATGCAAACAATCCTATACATACCTTTATTTTGTCCTTTTGATAAACAAGGAAAAACATTTAAAAGAACTGAAATCTTCTTTTAGTAGTTGTTTTGGGTTCACATCGTTGACCAATACATATTTTGTTTCAAACGCTAAGATATTTACAGTTTTTTCGTTGGTTTTGGTTTAATTATTACAACGCTTCGTTATATCGTCATGGACATCACGTTCAGTTCTGTCTGTATTGTTTTGAAATGAACTAATATTTTACTTTAAAACAACACGTAATTGTTGTCGGCCAATTTAAATGATGGGAACCAAGTTAACCGTCTATGAAAATCGTCACCGATGCAAGAAACCGCTTCAATGCACATAATCAATCATTTTAGATAAGATCTGTAAAAGCGTGATAATGTATTTGACTTCAACCAATTTCTACTTTAACTTTGTTAAAATAATCAGTATGACATATCTTACAAGCATTTAAGGGGGAAAATTTAGACTACAAAAACTAATTTTAATTGGTTTTGAGCATAATGATAAAGATTATGCCAACTAAAAAAATACCATTTAAAACATTATAATTATGTGGTTAGTTATGTCGTTTAAGCTTATTGTCATATGTTGTTGTATTTATATTTGTTGCAATAACAATGATTTCTTTATTTCGTTGATTGTATTCTACTTCATAAATGAAATTGAGTTTTGTTTTGTGTTATTAATTTGTGTCTAATGTACTGATGTTAGGTTTTTTTTTTCTTTTTGTGCGATTGCGTTATAAGTTTATTTCCGACTTACAAGTCTGAATGCCCTTTTGGTATCTTTTGCCTCTCTTTTGCAATAAACAAATATTGGTAATGGAACCAAGAAAAGAATACAAAATAAAAGACCTGCGTTATCAGCATAGGAAAAAATCATTATGATTAACACCACAATACGTTATCATTCCCAAAGGATCACTGTTTGAAAAGATCTAAATTATTTTACCACCAAACCATACTCTAACTGAACGAAAATCCCAGCAGCTAATTTCAATTTTGGTCTCGTACTTTGTTTACGAAAGTTACTCCAGACTGACGTGTCTCGCTAATGGAAATCGATATAATTGCGTGTTTTTGGTTCTTTTATTTTAGTATGCACACATCCGATACATTTGTACACATACTCGTTTCAAGTCATTATTGATAATTAACCAAATCAGAAAAATATTTTTTTATCCAATTTGGTGACGAAATCGTCGAACCTTACGCAAAACTATCTGAATGACTAGCTAATAGAGTGTATACAAAGATGACTAAAACGACTACAAAGCATTAATTAGGAAGGTACATGTACCTCATTTGTTGTATATCTGTCGGGATACGATATGAAATGCCTAAACATGCTTAGATTTCATAATTGCTCCTGTCATAGGTTCACATATAAATACGATCACTTTTGATAGTTTAGTAAGCGTACATTGATTACATTTTATACCAACTTATAGCTAAGTTTATATGAAGCTGGTTTATACTGGTTTGTCCCAATTTCGACGTTATCTCTTTCTTTTAATTTTGTCTGCAGGATTACAGAAGACAACTGAATAATATACTTTACTTATTAACATAATTCAAACACTCAAAAAAGTATGTAAATTACTGTAGATATTGTGTATACGTCGATTAGACAATAACCCAGAGACACAAATAACAAGAGAATGTCTGGAGATAAATATACAGTCTTCAGCAACTCACGGTTATCTGTACAATATCCTAAGCGCGAATTGCCCAAATTATGAAATGATGTTAAATAATTAACCAAAGATTAACAAAAATAAACCTTCAACACCAAATGCAAACACAAAAGTAAGATATTAATGTATGTCACAGTTTCAATAAACTTAGAAATCACCAGAATTAACAACATGCTACCAAAACTTATGTATGAAGGCCAACAATGAAAAATTACAACTTTTCATTTTCATAACTGTATTCTGTTTATAAGCGCTTAAAAAGTAAACGTTGTCTAACTACATAATGAATTTCTATATAATAGCATATGTCAGTGGTATTCTAAAATCAACTATCATTTCTAGTAAAATTTTGGTATCTGAAAAGTGGGGTCATGTCTTAAAAGCTGTCATCAAAAATGAAACCTCAATTTTACTGACTATTTATCACACTTGCAAACAAAAGTTGGCAAAGCAAAGGAGAGTTAAACATTTAAAGTGCAGATGATATGTCACTGAAGTATCTTACCCTAAAACCAACCAAAGTAATTGCAAAACATTGCATGGAAGTTGTGCAGGATGAAAACTGGCAAATCAATCAAACTGTCTCAATCTTAACCCCATTTTAGCTGTGCAATGGCCAGATTTAGCTTACAATATTGGGTCTGATCTCAGTAACTTTAGTCAGGTTTTGGTTTGATGGCTGCATTGCGAAAGATTTATCTTGTGTGATAAATGACATTATAGCTTGACCAGATAATAATGCTCCAGTGAAAGTGAAAATAATTCCATTGTTATATAAAGGAATCAATAAGTTTTTAGATCAACATGACACAAATGATTATATTATACTTCACATGCTTAGAAGGCTTACAGGATGTAACCTAAGAGCAGTCAACAATCCAATTGTTGCTAAATCACAATCATCGTATGGATCATTTTGTGCTTACGTCATTTCTAGAGATAAATGTATGTACTAACATCATATTTAAACCAGAATAGTTTGTATTCACATCAGTTCATTACTGTTCAACTTATAAATTTATTAAACATATTAAAAAGAATTATTCCTTCCAAATGTAGTTCAATTTTGTCCAGTTGTTTCTGATGAAAATGATACAAAAGAAAAATTTGGCAACACCAACAGCAGCATAAGGTCGAATAAGACTCTACAAAACCTAGCCTTACAGGTTTAATCTCATTTTGCACCACACTCATGACATTTAAAAGAATAAACACGAAAATGTAATAACAAATGTAAGCCATACATCATATAGCATATGAAGATGTCGATTTCCATGTACAGATCGATAACCAGTTTGGAAAATTTGAGTCATTATTGTATAGCTACATCATAGGCTAATCATTTATTGTTACATATCTATATCAATTGTCAATATCTACAGACATATTGTCAAGTAAGTTAGGCGGAGAAAATGATTCTGGGTTAAATTGCTCCATACGATATGGCATGCAATTATACAAAACGAATCAAAAAGACGGAATAAAATGATTCATATTTCAGCCAATAACATATGAGCATTTGTATGAATTGAAAACCTACTGTTAATATTAACAAAATAGATTCTTGCTTTTAATAAAATTGAGAATGGAAATTGGGAATATGTCAAAGAGACAACAATCCGACCAAAGAGCAGATAACAGCTGAAGGACACCAATGGGTCTTCAACGCAGCGAGAAAATCCTGCACCAGGTGGCGGGCCTCAGCTGGCCCCTAAATAAAAATGTGTACTAGTTCAGTGAAAATGGACGTCATACTAACCCTAACCCAAACCCTATCCCTAACCCTAACAATAAATTAACATCTATCATCTGTTTTATCCTGTAATCAGCCAACTATTGTAGATTAACATGTATACAAATAAATTTTGCTTTATTTTTTTACAAAAAGGTATTCTGTTACTCTGTTTCCATGTTGAGCAAACGGTAAAATGAATATTTTTTGGGATAATAGTTCATTTTTTGGAGTTATTTTCGCGGTCCGCGTTTATACTATTACGATTTCTTTGAAAAATTAAAAACAGATATTTCGATTTAAACAACTAAACCTTAAAGTGCTAGGTGTAAATTACAGGATAAAACAATATATGTACATTCTCGGCGAACCTCGCTTTTCGTCCTGTTTCTAAAGCTCTTAAAAATAAATTTTATATTTTCCGACTATGTACATACATTGTATATTTCATATAATACTTATTTCTATACATCGATTAATCTAGGATATAACACTGTTCCAATAAAACAGTCTAATTGCCATTCTCATTTGTATTTCATAAATATTTCCGTTAGCACGGAGTCTGGTATCACTATAGATTTGCATACACCGAGTCGTTTTCTAAATACTCTTTGATACACCTGTAGCAATATTCATACTGATCCTGTCAAAAAGAAAATTTCAGTCATTTAAGAAACAACATTTTAATGATTCAGACCCTCGAAAATATTATTGACCCCATAGGAGTTGGAAAAGTTTAGCCCTTAGAAAATTGGATATAGTAAACATTGAAATTAATAATTAAAACTAAATGTTTGTTTTTGTTTTTAAATGAAACATATATATTAGCGTCTCTAAACAAAGGAATTTGTACCCTGGGAATGCTCTTTAAGTTCATATTTGATTTGTTCTTCAACTGTTTTGACTAGAGTGTTGCTGATGAGTATTGAATAGACGAAACCTGCGTTTTGAATACTACATGATGAGCCTTGTAGATTTGATAAGCATTATTTGCCTACATTTACACTTAATGTAAATTATAGCAGGAGACGTCATTATTTTGTCAGTACGTCATAAATTGGTTTTCTTGCAAAATATAAGGCAACAATTTTGGAATTAGCCTAAACGAACATAAGTTGAGTTTCCTTTGATATAACCTCTGAAATACAATTTAATACTAGAATTTATTAGTCTTAAAAAAAATCCAGGATGACTTTTTTTATTACAAAAAACACATGTTTTCGAAAATATTTGTAACAAATTTTAGCCTTAAACATTCCAAAAAAAAGATACACGATTTAAATTAGCTGTTTTTTAAAGATCACATCTAAATCTGAAACATTCAGCAAAATAAAAGAGTGGACAATTCAGTGTGAAACTAGACCAATGAACCAATGTACCTTATTAAACTATAAGACTGATCTGACATCTATGTAATACATTGATGAAAAATGAACGACGGAATTCTTGTTAATTTTTATTTGATTTTTTTCTTGTGAATAAGAGATTGCCCTGAATACAAAGCATATCAAATCAATCACAGCAAACACCATGGTAAGTATTCTGTTCAGTATGTTTCTTAGAGGTAAATAAATTAATTATGGAAGAACTTTAAAGCTTACATTTAAATAAAAATCTGAAAGGAATGATTTTGAATATTTTAACGGGTAAATAGGATAGTCTGCTTTAGGTACTTACCCTTTTACACTGCTACCGTTTTATTTGCAAATAACTTGAATTACCTAAAGATTTACCCAAACGAAACTTACAAATTCCGTGAAAAATTCGGGACGTCTAACTTGCATTGTTCTAACAACTTGAAAAACATCAATTTCATCATCTATCTCCATTTTTTCCAAGATAAGTTTCAATGCAACCAACACCCCGCTTTTACTGCAACCATCACTGAAAAACGGACAGGGGTTGTTTCATGTTTAAATCATCAATGACATGACCGTCAAAAATAGTAACAATAACTAAAATTAACTTGTCTAACAAACATTGCAACAACTTCTGCACCTACCGGATGAGTAGGGATTTTAATTACAGTAGTTGAATATAAAAATAAATATTCTTAAAAAACAAAAAGGATATTTTTCTCATCGGCAATCATACCATGTCTACTTATATTCAAAACATATTTTTTTATTTGAATGTCCTATGCACTTTTCAAGTAAGCCAATATCAAATTCTATGGAAATATTAGCATTTAGTCCAAGTTAAAACTGTTATTCTTCATGCAATAAATGATAAATTGTCATATAAAATTAACACCTAGCAAAATGTCTGAACAGAACTCTATGTACTTTTTATGATCTTAAACTCTGAAAAAGTCATAAAAAAGTCAAATATACAAATATGAATAATTTGTGTATTTTACGGTCCATAATATGTTTGAAGTGTATTTATTTCAGAACATTTTGGGAACAAAATACTTACATACAATAAGTTTGATTAACTTAAACAACTCCAAATGAGTTATGTTAACAGAGTTGCAGATAACTACTATTGTGACCAACGTACGAATGGCATATTATATTTCATAGAGAAAAACTTATGCAACAGAACAACACTGCGACATTTTTTTTATGATATTCATATTTTGATGACGCACCTACAAACAACAGTAATTGGACTTTTTTGTTTTTCCCAGCACTCTTTTACTTTTTTCAGCAGGTCTAGTAAAATGTTTGATGGAAGCATTGCATCATTCATGTCATTGTTCAATATACTTGTGGTAAAAACAGTAATTGTCATCGGATCCTTTTCCTGAAGAAAAAAACCCAAAATGTATTGCTTAGAAATATCACATAAGATTAATTGTTGAATGAAAATCGCTTGTTGGTCAATTTTTGAACAAAACAAACGACGCTTACCCTGACATTCACCCGGTTTCTTTTCTTTTGGGTCGATGCGATTTTTACAGTTGTTTTTTTAAACTTTGGGGTTTGGGGTGGTCAATCGTTAGTGTTTCGTGTTCATTTATTGTGTTTTGTTGAATTATGGATGTCTGTTAGTCACTTTTCGATATGGTATGCTTTTTTTTTCTTTTTTTGATTTCTTATGCTAACGTTTACTCTTTTTTTCAATGAAGTTACTTTTCAAAGTGCGCATATGGTACTAATAATTCCAGGTTCTCAGGTCGTACGGTTGTCTTTCATTGCTTACATCCACTTCATTTGAACTTCGATGGATAATTGTCTCATTTGCAATCATACCACATCTGCTTATTTTACATTTATCACAAGCAGGCAATTGAGAATAAATCTATAATTTTATATGTGTCAATGACTTGCCACTGAATATCTAGAAATGAACTAACTTTTGGTACAGGGCTCATTTCACAAAATATCTTAGGATTAAAATTGATCGTAAGTTATACTGAAATGTTCATGACTTACGAGTATTTTCACTCGTACGATTGTTTGTGAAATGAGTCACAGAGGTGTAATGCATAGCAGAAAATACTTACTCTGCTTATAAAAAAGGCGTTTACAACCTTCACATTTACCTTATGGTTCAAAGTAAGCTTAAACTCCTCTGGATTGGGTGAGTTGTCTTGCAAAATAGTAAATCGTTTAAACTGTAGTATTTCCTGTCGTCCTAACCACAACGGAGCATTCTAAGAGAAACAACAACATTAGTCTTTAATTTCTTTGAATATAACCTTAAAACTGTTATTAGATCTTTGAATATTGTATTTTTGGGTATTAATATTGATTTTGTTATCTGTAAATTAAAACCATACTATATAGTATATAATATTTGCACTTTCACGGGTCTTCAATCTGTCGATGCCTATATCTTGGCAATGCACAAGGTCACGTTTTTTTTTCTGACTGTTAATGACGTCTTTACACTAAATCCACTGGATGTTGGATGTCAACTGATTGACATTTTAGTCTTAGATACATGATGTTTTTATTAGTTGTTATTGGGTTTGAACTAGTTGTTAGAAACTACGAGTACTCTCATACCTGTACATTGTGTCTTTTTTGTTGGGATGCATAAATACCATACCACGTCCGGTCTGTGTACATTATGTATCTATTAGATATTTTTCTGCTTTGTATCGATCTGATGAGTTAAGCCATTTTTTAACTGATTTTTATCGTTTGTTCTTATGTTCTGCTGTAACACGACTGTCCCATGTTAGGGGAGGGTTGAGCACTTACAAACATGTTTAACCCAGCCAGACTCTTTATGTGCCTGTCCCAAGTAAGGAACCTGTAGTTCAGTGGTTGTCGTTGGTTCATGTCTGTCATATTTGTCTTTCGTAAAATGTTTTGTTATAAATAAGCCGGTTGGATTTCTTAATTGAATTGTTTCATATTTTTCATGTCGGAGGCTATTAAAGCCGACTATACGGCATGGTTTTTTCTCATTGTTGAAGGTCGTACGATTGCCTATAATTGCTTGCATCCACTGCATTTGAACTTTGGTGGATAGTTGTCTCATTGGCAATCATACCACATCTTCCTCATTTTCATATTATTCATCTAAATTTAAGCAGATAAGTATAATATAATACAAATAATAATAAAAACCCATAAATATTATAATAAGTCTTGCAATGTCTTCAAATGCAATAGATAATTTGAGGTTTTATATAAATAAATGAATACTTTATCAAATTGCAATACAACTTATAGAATATAAATTATTACAATAAATATTCAATGCATTAGTGTAACAGTAAAAGCAGTCATTGTACAGTGTAGAATATAGATATGTGGCGGAAAATGACAATTACCATTTGATAACTAGGGAATTAAAAACTACATATTACGGATTTATTTTCGACATTTAGCAAAACTTTACCAAAATATTACGTTCTTCACATTGTGAACTGATAACAACTGTTAAAGCTTAAATTTATATCAATTGAATATATCTTACCGTGTTCAACTTGTCCAATAAAACAACAATGGGGGAGTTATGGTCATATACCATTGTCCAGAAATCAACAACAGTTTCTGCTAGTGGACATTGCGTTACTAAAATTTTACTGTCATATGTATATCCCTGTAAATGGCAATTACATTTTATTATGCATGAACACTTATAAATTGGGCAAATCATATTTTCCATTGTTATCATAAAGTAAATAGATATAAGAAGATGTGGTATGAGTGCCAATGAGACAACTCTCCATCCATAAAAGTAAACCATTATAGGTCAAAGCACGGTCTTCAACACGGAGCCTTGGCTCAAACCGCACAGCAAGCTATAAAGGGCCCCAAAAATTACTAGTGTAAAACCATTCAAACGGGAAAACCAACGGTTTAATCTATATAACAAACGAGAAACGAGAAACACTTATGAACTACATCAACAAACGACAACTACTGAACATCAGATGCATGCATGTGATATAAAAATATATTTGCTACAAGTACAAACTATCACAATGCTTTTTGTCAGCAAAACGAGCTGCTTGTTGAATTTATATGTCAATCCTTTGTCAATTCGTCTTAAATTTTAAACAAAAATAATATCAAATGCAAAGGCTTAGGACCTTTTTGGTTATATAGTTCTCCAACAGTTTAGGTTCTTATACATCCTTGGCTTTAAATTATTCAGCTTAGAACGTTCCTGATGAAGGTAAATCCAGAAAAGCGCTTCGGGCGCATGCCATTTATAATGTGGAGTTATCATTTTTTAGTAGTAGCTTTTAATAGCACCGGAACAAGAAAGCATAAAAAACCCAGCATAAACATATCTAAAAGGATACGTGTTCAACAGGGAAGTCCCACATTGACTTTTTTATTTTTTTAAAAACTTGGTATGACTGTTGCAAAACTTCAATTATATTGACAACATTGTGTTTTGCTTAAAATACATCATCTTCCGAAAGTCTTCTTCAACGATTAGTGACAATACACGAAGAGCGGCATGTAGCCCTTGTTAAGTTTCAATCTAACTTCACACGAAAAGTTCTTCTAAAATATGATTTAAACCTGTATATTCATTTAAAGATATAGTAACGGTTGTTGATTTCAATTTATCTCCTTTATTATTACTTGCATTTGGCAATATGTGTTTTAAATCTTTAAATGTAAATCAATTATAACAGAAACGTTTACTCACGGGTATAATCACTGCATTGATGTAATCATTACGCGTTCTTGCATATGACATTGTATACGGTCTATATCTGTTGTCTAAAACAAAATTAAATAAATTCATTACTTCTTAATTGTTTGAGCTCTGTCTGCAACGAACTCTGTTCTATTTTTAATTAAGTATGGTTGAATGAATGAACCAGCATTTTATCATTAAATGTAAAATATTTAATAGATTGAATTTTAATTTTCTATCCGAGACATAATTATTCTGAACTAAATATAAACAATACATGTCAAATGAGAGTTAAAAAATATCGCATATATCAATTTAATAATGTCAACTTGGCAGCACGGAATTGCAAATACAAAAAAAAAGTTTATAAATATAGCAGAACAGAACTTCATCATTAAAAAAGGTATATATTTGAACTGGATACCTTTCAACAGCTTATGTTTAATAGCAAATTTAATAAAACATATTTTTCGGTATTCTGTCACTTGATATATTGACTGGGTCCTCACAAGTACCGCCAATGTCAATAAAATTATACAACGAGACTTTTTTCTTCTAATCAACGACAAAAACGTTTTTTGTTGAACTCATTGTCAAATTTAAAATTGCTATCTAAAACACCTTTTTTGGCGTGTTTGTTAGAATGATTTGTATGTTTGTTTGAATGTTTTAGTTAGTTTTATGTATGTCTGTGATGAATGTTTACACAGTTTTAACTGCAGGATCACAATTTTTGTCACATCAACTTGTCATGTTTGTTTGGGCTACTTACTCAATTTTTGTCAATATAACGGAACTATAAACAACTGTAATACAAGTGGGAGGTTTAATGAGCTAGCTATAATGCAAAAATGCCGAACTCCAAAGCAAATTCAAAAAGAGGGAGGTCCATAAAAAACTGACAAAATCAAACGATATCAATCAACAAAACAAGTGAAAAACAACTGCCATATTCCTGGATTGGTGCATTTATTTCCCGCAGAAAAGGGTTGGTTAAACCTGGTTTTAAAGCTAATATTCAGATTCAACTTATTTATAAAAGAGAGGCGAAAGATACCAGAGGGACATTCAAACTCATAAGTCGAGAAAAAAACTGACAACGCCATGGCTAAAAAAGAAAAAGACAAACAGACAAACAATAGCACACAAAACACAACATAAAAAGCTAAAGACTAAGCAACACGAACCCCACCAAAAACAGTGGGTGATCTTAGGTACTCCGGAAGGGTAAGCAGATCCTGCTCCACATGTGGCACCCGTCGTGTTGCTCATTTTAGTACAAACCAGGTAATAAGTCTAATTCGGTAGGTCACATTCGTGAAAAGGGGACGAGAAACTTGTATCTACGTTGGCCACTCTTTTTTATGAAACAAAGAAATACCAACTCTTTCAATTGGTCTTTTAGTTTGGAATTGGGAATATTTGTATAAAGTGTAGAAAAGTCAAATGTTTTAAAACTATTGCAAGATGAAAGAGTCTTAGATTGTATGACTCTAAAAGATCTTTGGAATTTTTTAATATCCACATCTGATTCACGCCACCTCTAGAATAAGTAGTTTTACAATAACTTTGAAGCCTGGCTTTGATTGCTGATAAAATTGATGTTAATAATTTAGAAAGAGGTTTCGTTAAGCTCTTGGAAGACCCAGCAATATACCGTTGTTTGTAAGGACACTTATGTAGTTTAGGCATCCAACAGAGTGATGAAAGATCCAGTTCTTCATCTTTGGTTGAAATTCTAAAGGAACATAGAACAGACCTATGATTATCCAGAATTTCCTCTTTAGTAAGTGTCGTGGGGTAATATGTTGAGTTTCCAAGTGAATTGTCAATACATAATTCATTTATCAAGCAGTTTATATAATGTGAATAACACACAAAAATGATGTTGTTTGGGACTTTATCTGCGGGACAACAACATATTTGTCATTGAGGTAGGACAAGTGTTTTGCAACATTTAGGTCTTTAAAGATTGATGTAGCATAGGTATTGATAGACCCATTCAGTTACTTAATTCTAGTTTGTATTAACGACCTCACAGCCTTAATCCATTCGGAAAGAGTATCTATGTCTTCTTTATCGCTTTTAACCCATTGCCTGGCATAATCCTCGACTGAATCTATCAGTATTTTGAAGTTGTGTTTCCAATTGATTGGTTTAGGCTCATGATATTTCGGACCTTTCGATAACACATTTCGCAGGGAAGTGTTATTGCCAATGTTGAGGTCACCGGTAATAACATGGCCAGCCGGATTTGAAGTCGTCAATATTGAGATCCTGCAACACGTGTTTTTAATTGAAAATTTTATGCAATTGGTTTGGTATAGGTATAAGAAATGATAGGTACAGACTGGTCTTTAAAATAGGGAAGTATTTTCGATTGAACTAATTTATGATGAAGGATATTGCCCAAGTTGAATGTCATGTTATATATATATCGTTTTTCAGCACATGATAATAATTGAATAAACTAAATGTATTCTTTACTCACGTGGAAATATTTTCTTTATCGAATTTTTCGATATATTTTCTTTTGATGTAGCAGCAGAAAATGCTGATGGAGGATACACGGGTCTTAGGATTTCCAATCTCTAAATCAAAGATATAATTTAATTGACAACTGGTTATAACATTCATTATAAGGTTAGTGGTTTGAAAGGGAAAGCAGTAATGCAATTAGGTTAACCGAAAAACATTCCCCTCTAAAAAATAAAAACAAAACAACAAAAAAAAAAAACAAAAAAAAAAATTAAAATAGAAATAACAGAGTCTAAGTCATTTGTAAGTGGTTCTTACAAATACACATAAAACAAATTAAACAGGGTCAGCTAAAATATCTTTTTTACAAAGTTGAGACATACTGATTGTATTTCCAGGGGGCATCAAATATGTTTGAATTTGTTTTAAGTTATAATTAAGTAGGGTATGATTTATTGGATTTGAATTAATATAAAACATTCCTTCAAACACACTTTTAATGGTAAAAATACCTGAAATTCTAGTTTATAAAGTTTTTGATTTCGTGGTAATTTCTTCTGTTCTTGATCCGAAATATATTGACAGAACTCTTTCTTTGGAATAGACGTATCTGGTACTGTAAATAACTCTAACAAGGCTTCAAAGATTGCCTCATATTGTTCCTGCAATTGAAATCAACTCAATTTGAAAGATCATGTTTTCTCTTTATAGTTCTTTCGTAGATGTTTTACTTTTTGTTCAAATTATTTGTCTCAGATCTAAACGTTTATTACATAGATAAGTGGCACTCAAAGTAGAACTCAGTACAAATAGTCCCTATCAACCGTGCCTTTTTTGACATTATAACATTTACGGAAGCTTCAGTTGTTTCTAAGCCAAGTGATTTGGAAATGTTAGAGCCAGTAAGTTTTGTCTAGTGGGTTGTTCTATTGGAAATTTCTTCTCTAATACAAAGAACAATTCTATTGAATTTAACCCGTTCCATTATATTTTCTATTCTATCTTATTATTTTTATATCACAAAACGTTGCCAGATTTAGTGGGATTTAAATGCTCAAAAACATTTATCTTAACGTAACAAAATGTACTGAATGTGCCTATAACATTCTCATCTAGTAGTCTTTTGATGTATAGTTGCCTTATACTCAGTCAAACCACATTAACCTTTCATGATTTTTTTATTCGTGTTAAAAGAGAGGCGAAAGATATCAAAGCGATATTGAAACTGATAAGTCGAAAAAACTATAGCAAAAATACCGAACTCTTAGGCAAATTCTAAATGGGAAAAGTCCATAAAAACTGACAAAATCAAACATTGTCAATCAACGGAACAATTGAAAAACAAATTGCCATATTCCTGGCTTGGTACAGGCATTTTCCGAAGAAAATTAACTGACAATGCCATTGCAAAAAACTTAAAACCATGAAAAGACAAACAACAGTACATTAAATACAACATAGAACAATAAAGACCGAGCAACACGAATGTTACGTTAAGATGAGTTTTGTTTGGACTATCCAAAATTATTTAATCTACTTATCAAACCCTGTGGTCTTGGGGGTAACTGATAATGATCATATGAGAAACATATGTCATGGATAACGACAAAAGGTCGAATAGATGAGACGAATGTAAATTGATTACAAACTAAACGGATTTCACGTGGGTATTGCTGTGTTTGTTTATTCTACATTGGCTAGAGGTATAGGTGATGGGTTGAGATCTCACAAAACATGTTAAAACCCGCCTGTCACAAGTCTGGGGCCTCTAGCCTTTGTCAGTCTTGTGTTTTTTTTTTATAATTTTGGCTCATTTGTATGTTTCGGAGTTAAGTGTGGCGTCCATTTCGCTCAACTAGTATACATTATTGTTTAGGGGCCAGCTGAAGCCCGACTCCGGATGCAGATTTTCTCGCTGCGTTGAAGACCCATTGGTGGCCTTGGGATGTTTTCTGCTCTTTGGTCGGGTTGTTGTCTCTTTGACACATTCCCCGTCTCTTTCTCTATTCTATTCATTGGAAGGACTATGCTTCTTACACAAAAATCCTCTCTAAATAAAGGCAACAGTAGTATACCGCTGTTCAATAGTCATAAAACGATTTAACTGAAACAAATCCGGGTCACAAACCAAAAACCGAGGGAAACACATCAACTATAGGAGTAAAAAAAAAACAACGGAACAACAGAAACACTGAACTGCTACAAAAACAAACGCCAACATATATAGAAACGGACAATTTGATAACAACTGCCATATGTTATGAGGGTTATGAGGAAGGACGACTGAACTCAACAAACAACACCACATAACATTTACGTTAACCATCACAAATTGGGAAATTGGTTCATTTATATGATATGTCTGTGTCTCAACTCACTAGAGACATGTTTTAGCAGTCTTAGATCTTTAGATACCAGAATAGTCGTCTAATCTGTAATTTTACCGATTTTGTCCAATTTTGGATTGTGCCATTTGGATTGAGTGTGGGTTCGTCTGGCTTATGCTACATGCGTAACAGGAGAGGCTTATCATAACGACACAGCCTGTCTTGTTCCTCTCGAAGTACATACGATTTCCTCAGTTTTTGTTTGTTACCTTGATTTG